TGAAACTTGAATCCCCAGTGTAAGTAATATGTCGTCCTCGTTACAAGGATTTCCATTTCTCGAATTTTTTTTGCCAAAGTTGAGATTGAAGGGTTTTCTTTTCCATTAGGACACAGAGAGGTATCAACCGTAAGATATCTATTGTCTCTTTAGTTTTTAGTCCTGCAAATTGTCATATATTCAAATAGTTTAAGGCAGACACACCACCGCTTCATTGTGCCGTAGTAAATTACACTTAATCACGAGTAGACTTTCAATCAATAATCCTTATTGATCCACGGGCGGTTGAGATTTTAACATAGCGAACGCACCTTCCCGCATTATTTGAATTATCGCCCTTAAGGGGCACACCTTCCCGCATTATTTGAATTATAGCCCTCAGTGGAACCTTCGCGACCTGCGTGGATCTGGTTGCTGTGATTTCTTTTCTTACAATAGTTTTCCAAAAGAAATTTTCTTGTAAAGACTTCACGTTTTAGTTTATTTATTATTTTTTACTAAGTTAGTTTACTAAGTTCTGCGCTGATGCATCTTCAAGCTATATTCTACATTCAGGTCAATTCCTATATTTTTTTGCATTCTTACAACAGTTCCTCCTTACTTACATGGTGATACTCAGGTTACGTAATCGCTGCGTAAGATTCTAGTGGATTAGACATTATCCTATGCAGCTGGAGCTTTAAAATATTCTCAAGTACAATGCATAGTTATTGTTTGTTTATTATTCCTTTGTTGTTCTATCCCTTTTCAGAATCCCGGAATCAAATTTTTGCGCTGTTCGTAAAGGTGAATGATATCGTTTGATTTGTTTTAGTATTATTATTACTACCATCGTTGCTTGTAGAAAAATGAGAAGTTTTCCATTTGCTGCTCCGCTGGCTTTACAAAGCTTGCTTATAATTTTGAATCAGAGCAAGTAGAAGTTTGCCCACTGAAAGCGCTCTGTGGGAACTATTTTACTCAGCCTTCATCGGCGGGAATTCAAATGTTGCCACGATTGACATATGGTAAACTTGCTTCACTCTATCTGCTCACCTCTATCAACTTGCCTTTTGTGTAGAGCACTGTGAGCTCGTTTTTATTCCGTTTTTATTTTATTTTTTATTTAATTCGTACAATTACACTGTAAGCAAAACAGTTAGTAATCTCCGTATTATTCTTTCAGTGTACAGGACTCATTGTGAGACAAGTTTACAAACAACGGATCACTTGTAATCTCACTTCGAGTTCAGACTTCGAACTCTAGTAGGAGCTACTACTATGACTATAACATAGGAGCAGTATAGATAGTTATTCCTGAGGATAACATCGATTGACTTTGGGAATGAGTAAAGCAGATTTTTTCCTGTTTTTCCTGTCTGGCGGTGATAATTCACGATCTAATCAGTACTATTGTTCACGAAGCGTTGCTCTGCAGAAATCCATTCACAATTGTTTTCTATAAAAAACCACATCTTGCAGTCATCGAGATAAGTCTTGCGGTCAATGAGATAAGACTTTTTCATACAGCCATCTTGTTCTCTGAAGTCGGAGCCCGATGGGTCTTTTAATCGTAGGCTACCGCGGATTCTTAGGTATCTTCAAGAATTTAAGGGCTCAACCAAAGCTTATGGGGAGGAAAAGAGACATGTGTTACCTTTACAAGTTTAATTACTTACTGTTTTTCCAGGGCTAACTTCGTTGAAGGGAACTTGACTTACATGATCGGCGGAGGATGTGGGCCCTCAAAACGGTAAACAATGAGTGACACATCCCCTTTAGGCGTAGATGTATGCGTTTGTTTATGTCCCTGGCAATAGCAGCAGTGCATTTTGCCCCGTCGAGCAGCCCTAATTACAAACCGATTCACCGGTTTGTCGTCGTCTAACGGTGCCATTAGAAAAGACGTAGAACATGCCGTACGTACAGCAGCTCGCTTTCTATGGGCCGACTTGATACGGCTGTACGCAGCAGATTGGGCGCCTACGTTGCGTAACTACGCGGGCGTGGGTCACCGCCCGAAACCACTCATTAGCAAAGACTACGTATCTGCCCTTTCACCGTTTATATCCGGCCCAGGTTTATACGCCATTTGCTCTCAAAGAATCGTCAAAAGATATACGGATGGGTCAGTGCCATCGTTTGATTGCCTCTCACCTTCTATTACCTAACCCAACCTTTGGGCAGTGGGACAGTCCCACGCCCTGGTCACTACCGCTCAATTCTCTTGATGCCTTTTCAATACAGACTTGACCTCTTCCCTGTTCTTATCACCCACATCTTCCTTCCCGTGCAGTACCCCTGTGGGAGCAGTTCCTTGCTCCAAACTGGTGACATCAGTCCTGACCATGTGTGTGCCCTGCTCTTCTGCCACAAAGTGTTTGAGTTGAGTCTTATTGAATGCGATATTAGCAATAATGGGCTCTCGGATTCAATAATGCATGCGCGTAGCCTGAGGCTACGTCTTCCGCGGTGGGAATCGCAGCAACAATGGCTCAGGACGCGTGCGTCATGCTACAGACTAGCCGTTACTAGTTGTTCATGTGTGTCTACTGCCACCATGTTTGTCTGTCCGGTCCACATGGAACCGCTTCCGAGAGCCTGTAGTTAGCCACAGATAGCTGTAGGTGGCCACTGTGTGGGTGTGCCTTTGAGTTGAACAAAACTCTTTTCCAAAGGCCCCGTGCGCCTGGCTTAATCACTGGCTCGGTGTGGTTGATGCGCAAATTGAAGAGTTGAGAATGCCGCGAGATCCGTAGTTCTCTATAATTCCGTAACAAACGGGCCAACATCATCGTCACGTTTTGCAGCCAACTGAAATCCAAGTGAAGGACGTGTTCATGTGGTTTCTGTCTGTGCTGCAATTGTAAGTCTGTGTGTGTGGTGTGGTTGATGTTGGTGGGCAGGCAGTTTTCCACTGGATAGTTATTGCAACTGACGTCGATGTCCGCCGACCGGCCAATACTGCCAACGGCTATGGTTGGAGCTACTACGGCGGCGATGGTCGACCGACGACGTCAGCTCTACGTCGCCCGCCGTAGTTGCGTTACCGATCCGGTTCACTTTCGATGAAAACGGGTCATTGCGCAACAATTCGCTTTCATCCACCCCCACCATCTCCTCCAAAAAGCAGAAACAGGATTAGCAAGTGTTTTGGGCACAAAGGCGCGCATTTCCGACCGCCACCCACTTTCACTTGACCGCCCGGACTTGCCTTCGCTAGCACCCCTCTTTAGCCATTCGGCATATCCTGTCTGTCAAACTTCGCTTCGTCATTTCACTTTGCTACACTCTCACCGCCCATCCATCCCTCCGTTCTTTAGGGACTGGTGTTACTGTAGAGCTGAATCCTCAAAGCTCACTGAGCTTGTTTCCTCAGGCTATTTTGCTTTCTTCGGAAGATTCGGGCTTTCAACTCTGTATAGAGTGATAGATGAATACCATCTTACATAAATACTCTCTCAATTACTATCTTACCGCGGCTTAGACCTATTTCCTGTTCTCTATTCCATTCTAAGTGAATTCGTTACAAAATCCTGAATTTTCGTGGTCCCGAGGCGATCGTTTCCCCTTGGTAAGAGAGTAGGTACCGTATCCATGGGTCAATAGGACATATGTACATTCCTTGGCTGAAAGCGATCCCAGACACCGACACAACACAGGAATTGTTCTGCATAAATCTCCTGTCAATCATCCACTACTATATCTATTGCTGTTGGCGTAATCATCATCTCCCATAGCATCTCCGATTGTGCGACTATTTGCCCATGTAGGGATAATCTTTAGCTGATGATCAGCAGCTGTTAATCTTGCAAACATGCCATCCTCATTACGCAAAAGTCTCGCACTACGTAGTTGGTGACGGCCACGAGATTTACCCTATCAACAGACCCTGACACGTGTGTGGGATATTTGGATTCGGAGATTCCAGAACTTAGAGACGTAGTAGACGTAGTGGTCGTCAGGGGGAGAGAGCGGACGGACGCCAACCTTATTTATGTAAGCCTCGCGAGTGATATCTCGGGCACCCACCCCGTCTTTGCAACACATTCTGACAGGTGCAACGGTGCAGATTTGATTACTGAAGGAGAGGACACGTCAAAAACATCAAGGGGGGCATGTTTGTGCAAGTTTCCGTTATTGCAATATATGCTCTTGTTTCGTCGAATTCTATTCGCTCATTGTCGTCAATTCCTTACTAGTAATCGACGTTGTAGTATGGTATGGAAACTGTAACGTTTTTGTTAAACTACTTATACTCACGATAGCTTCGAACCTAACGAACGTACGTGCAAGTTTATGTTTCGAGTGACCTTACACCATACAGGACCTACGTGCAGTTTCTGAGGAGCATCCTGGACAAAGGGTATAAAAATGAAGACAGTGATGGGAGGAATATTTTACGGCCCTAGTTCTTCAAAGACGAAAAAATCCTGCGAGATACATCGCTAAGGCTGAATCCTTGAAAAAATCGCCATAATTCAAGCAGCTCTAGATTGTTATAAGAACACGTGATCCTTTTCTTCCTGTTCCATCCCTTCCCCCCGACACCTAGCCTTTGTTTCGCTTTCCGAAAGCAATTCAAAGCTTCTGCTAATCGCTTGTGGGAATCGCTTTTTTTGCTTGAAGTCCACATCAAAGCATTGTTGTCTCTCTAGCAGCTTCACAATGCTGTTCTGTTTCACGTGCAATTGTGATTTCACTCACGAACGGCCGCCTATCAGTAGCCGTCCGTCGTTCCCTGAAGCCCCTGACGTCACCCACCCTGCCGACAGGTCAGTCGTCGGTGTTGATGGGAATGGTTAGTGTTGAGAGTGTTGAATGGGAATGCGTGCGTTTGGTTGCGATGCCCTCTGTGCTGAGGCTCAGATGCCGCTCACATCGTTTAATGCAATTTATTTTATGTGCATTGTTGCCTAACTCGCCACAAAGGCTAGTTGGGTGCGTTGGCGCCCACTGGCATGCGCACGCGCTCACTCGCTCACGTTCCGATGACTGTCATAATAAAAGTGGCGACGACGATGGCTACGTACCGACGACGGACAGATAGATGGACGACGGACGATGGCGACGCCATCGCCGGCGACGACGACAGCGACGACGACGACGACGCCCATGGCGGCGGCGACGGCGACGACGTTGCCGACGTTGTTTGCCCTCATCTTGTCATCTCGCCGCGTCGATCGCCTTTTATTCCCCCAACACTTCCGACAGACAATATCACTGCAGTTCACTACGTAATTTGCTGACACTATTGCAGCCCACAAAAAATCTCCTCTGCAGTTTATGGCCTCTCGGAACACTCCTGAAACAATCGTCCCCAAAGTCTTTCGCTCGCTCTCTCTCATCCTCTTTTGTGTGTGTGTGTGTGAATTGAAATAGTGAAGTGCATGTTCGCGATTTTAACTGACGTGATTACCGAATATCGGCAGTGATGGTAAGGTAGTGTCATGAACACTGCACAAAGGACACATGCGCTAGCCAGCAGTGCGCCTGAAGGTCGGCCGCCCATTGTTTCCCTATTTACTCCATACAAGGCCACTCACACTCACACTGATAACACTCTGAAATACGCCTGAGCTATCCGTTTTTGATCGCGTATTTTTTCTATAAGTTCACTTTAAATTTCTCAAAAAATCTATAAGATGGTCCTGTCCTCATCACATGTGTCCAGCTTCTCTCATCATCTCTAAGCTATCGGTCTCATTGTTAATAAGTGTGCGATATGCTGGAACAGAGCTTTGCTTGACAATTCAGAAGCGCATAATGCATCAACAGGAGAGTTCGGGGAATAATTTTTGCTGGGGACGTTTGCTTTTTTTTCGCTGCCTACAATGTCCGACCTCAGCGCTGCGACAACCTGCCGAATGACGACAATACAATTTTCGGAACAAAGCGGCCGCGCCGTCGCACGCTTTTTCGACGCCAACGCTCTACCCCTTGAACCCCTCCCACTGCATTGACCAGCGTTGGCAACGTTGATCCTGGCGTTGATCCCGGGTTTGGCCTCAACGATCAGCTGCTCGGCTCAGGAGGCCGCAGCCGCCACCACCATCGGTGGTGCCGGCGGTGGTGGATGGGCCCAAGACTGGTGATGGTGGCCATGGCGCTACATGGCGCCGGCAATGCAGTCTTTCACAATCGCGCATGTGTGTGTGCGTATTTATCTTGTTCGATTCGCATTGAAATGAAATGGGTTGAGTGACTATTGTGAACTGTTCGCACCCGTTGTCGTCGTCGTGGCCGTCGCCGTCGTCGCCCCTCTGATCGCGTGAATGTTTCGATAGTTTCGACCGACTCAAGACGCTGTGGCTGGCTGGCTCTTAACCAGCCTACACACATTCCGATAATACTTTATCATAGTCATCACATGTGAATCTTGCCACACACACTCATTCACTCACACATGGAATTCCCAAATCATCCTCTAAGCATTGGCAAACTTCATGAACGGCCTGATCGGTCTCCTACGTTGAATGCCATCTCTTTACACTCTCTTCGTTCTCAATGATTACCTTCGTTGTTTACCTGTTTGTTTAATTTTATATTCGACATTTTCATACTTGTTTGTTCGCTGTCTCTGGAACCATTCGAATATTTATTTGATGACGAACGAAACAAACTGAACGTTTTTCAGTCATCAGATGGTGACAAAAAAATCAAACCCTCGAATATAAATGGCCTTTTGGGGTATCCTCAGTGAATTCCTCTGCCTTATACTACTCAGTATTATCTCTTCTATGCTTCTGATTATTCCGTTCGAAGTTCCTTCGGGGTGGGTGGTCCTTCCAAAATCGTATTGGAAGCAAAGGGTCATCTATAGTGCTAAATTCACGGTTAAGCAAGCAAACAAAGAGTGCATCACTTCATAAAAAATAGTAATTGTAGCAGTAAGAGTTGTGAGAAGTAGGATTAGGAGTAAAAAGTAACTGGTTGCCAGAATACTTGGTATCAAAGGATTTATGTGTTTTCATTTTGGAGTAGAAGGAATCAGTAGTGTACCAGTAAGATTCCACCGAGGTCCAGAGTCGTTAGTGAAATCTTACCTGGTCTCAGCATTGGTCATTAAAAAATTATTAAAAGGAATATTCCATGACCAACTCTCCTTTTATCTCGACATTTTACAAGTAACAACCATGACCAAAGACTTTGGGCTTGATCAGGAAACCTCAGAATACTTGATGGACCAGAACCTTCTGTTTACTTCTACTTGATCAGGAGTCTTCAGGTTTTGCATTGATTTCGATCGGGAGCCCTCTAGTCTCAATTTTTTACCAAGAGCCTCCAGATCCTGAAGTCCTGTGATCATGACAATGTTTCAAGACAAACCCATGGTACTATTCAAATAACAAAGCCCCTGGGGAGGGAGAGAGGGGGAAGAGGGTTTAGGTGCATAGGAGCGGCTGCTACTCGTCCATTGCCTATCACTCACGTTTAACAGACATTGTGGTCACATTGGCGACTGATTGTCATAGTCCTTGATGTGTGCTTGTTTTTCATGTGTTGTTGTTATTCTTACATATGTGCGTGTGTACGCGCAAGGTCGCTGCTTCGTTGAACAGCAGCAGCAACAGCAGCAGCAGCCGTAGCAGCCAGCTTGTTCTGGCTGTGAACTGCTTGAACACCTCACGAACGCGCCTATTCTCGGCAGTTGTTGCCATCGCCGCGGCTATCGCTTGGTCCCCCACCCTGTCCCCTGTCCCCTGTCGTCGTCGTCGTTTGTTCGGTCACACGCATCGGTCATTGTTGTGTACATGGTTTCGTTAAAACAAAACAATCGTCTTTCATTTACAGAGACACATACACAGAGTTATTCTCATATACTCACTTCTCACATCATCACTATTAGCCGACCTCAAGTCAACCGTCTGCTTCGTCTCTGACGTGTCCGCCTGAATTTTTTTCAGTGGTGAGTGTAGAAAGCTTATATTTCCTCTCACCTATTCATTATCCCGTTCTAATTTGCCGTTTCAATTCCCAGGTCGTGTTACTACCAATAGTTAGCCGTTGCTCTACTCATTCAAAGTTGTAAACTATAAATTTATTGGAATCCATTGGCATTTTTCGTTACTAACATGGTCGAAAACTAGTAAGTAGAAATTTTTAGGTAGCAGTATGTTGAGCTCAACGTAATAGAAGTAACTATGAAAAGACGTGAGGATAAGGTGAAGCCAATATTCCTGGTGCTAGGTTTACTGGTACAACTTCAGCCCCCTTTCTGTAATTGTGATTCCTCACTGTAAGTAATCTCAGCTCATCTGCCTGTTCTCAAATCTTGTTCCTCATCCGTTGCTGTTCCACCTCCGGACACTAAAGCTATTGATTCTCCCTCTGTTTCTTAATAAAGTAAGTTTACCTAACTATGACTTTTGAAGTTTCGAGTCTGGTTTCGGCTGATACAAGACAATATGAGATATCAGAGGGTAGGAGTAGCTTTCCCGTGTTATTCGGGATTCTCTGAAACTTTCCTATCGGCCCCTTTCGTGTGGTCCTCCGTAATGATCACGCGTTCAAGAATAAGTCCTGTGAAACCGATTATGAAAGGAATCCGGAAAAATAAGTCAGAGATTGCTTAATGTTTTGTTAATTCGAAGTGGCTTACGAAAGCGATGGAAAGGGGAGGGTACGCAACATTGTATAGACCTTAACTCGTAGAAGATCACCCATGTGCGCTTCATTTGTAAACCCTTTTGCTTCCGTTCCCTCTCAGCTCGTTTCTCCCCCTTCCACTTTAATGGAGAGATTTCTAAAAAAATTTCGTATAGACTGTGGGCCCATCGCAGAGAGAACCTCCTCTGATGCGAAAGATGGTTCTGTTTGAACATTCACGGCTCGCGGAACCGCGCCCACATGGATAGCTCCGCCCACTGGGTAAAAGCACTTTGCCTCCTTCGCTCATACAGCTGTTTTCTGACGTACACTAACTAAAAATAATCCTTCGTATGGCGCGCTCATAATAAATCAAAACGCGTGCTCGAAATAACCCAAAATTTTCCCTTTTTTCTCTTTTGTGACCTCGTTTTTTTGAAACCACGTGTCAGTTTTGTAAGTGATCATATCATGAATTGCCCCTCGAGTTTCGATTCTGGCAGAACTCCATTTCNAAAAAAATTGTTTGAAAGGTTTTCAGAGACCATCCGAGTAAATTACTCCTATTGTATGGATACTGTTTAATATAATAGTATGTATTTATAACTGTGATGACCTTTGGTTAGTTATGAGATAGTTGGGATCAAAATTGAGAAACACATGTTCTGCGAAGTGGCATGTAAACAGGGCTGCGACGTAACGGCTAGGCGGATTTCAGACTAGTTAAGGTAATTGAAAGAAGATGCTGGACGACTTTATTTGTTGTTAGCCACGATGAATTGATTCATGCAATGTCTCCACCAATACATTTCGACCTCTTTTCATACTCAGTTGAACCTATTGTCTCCAACTGATCAATTGCTTCCTTACAATACCTTGGTCTTCCTTAAGTCGAGCTAAATCACCTCATTTGCTTTGCTATGTTACAATGAGCAGTTTCTCTGACAGTTTTTCAGGATCGGACGAAGGATACATTGCTTTTCCAAACAACAAGTTGCTACTTTTTATTACAAACCAGTTGTAATACTTCTCAAAGAAAAAGGAATAAAAAGCATGGGAGCGTTGTGAGATGGGCAAAACAACGGTTTTCAAGAATGAATATTGAGGTGATGAGCTCTAACGATGGGGATCCGTTGTGAAGGAGGACATTATTACTAATTAACAACCCCACTAGTAAGTAGTTATGGGCTGATAATACATCCTCTTCCGTCTCCTGACGATCCGGATATATGTGTCGTAGTAACTAAGATTCCAAGCCATCGTAATCCACCTTCGCGATATGTCGCCAAGACGGAATCACCTTGCTCCACGTCCATTGGCAGACACACTTGCGTGCTTCCTTCCTCTAGACCTGACCAATACTTGTAATTCATTATAAAAAGTATGAGCAAAGAGTTAAAAGTTCTAGAAAATTCCGAATAACTTGAGAAAGCCACTCCTCCAATGACAGCACCATATCCTGCCTTCTACTTCATTTTCTATAAGTCTAACCCCATTCCTTTTAGGACTGTAGAACTCATAGATAGCTAGCAACTACTTTGTAAAGGGTAATTTATAAGAATTTATCTTAGCAGTTCAAACTTACCTCTTCACGTGGAACTGACCCTTTTTCAGAACTTCAGTCTTGCTACTTCATAAAAATGTATTTGTAAAGTTTTTA